CGGTCTTCTCCACTAAAGAAATGACCTGTTACAGTACAAGAGCCGCTGACATCCCTCTCTGAATGGACCAGGGCATTCTCTGGAAAAAGCAAGGAAGGCAAACTTGATAACTTCTGCGTTTCTTAAATAAGAAGGAAGGGAGCAAGAAGACAAGGGTTACCTGGTGAAACCACAGTTTTACCGAGCGCGTGCTGTGGTGTCTCCGCAGCAGCACTGCACTTCCCTCGAAGCTGTCAGCAGCCAGTCCCGGTGCAGCCGCGCAAGTCCCAGCGCAGCCATGCAGTCCCGGCACAGCCGTGCAGCCCCTTGGCAGCAGCCGGCCGTGCCCCCTCTGGGGCTGCTGGGTAGCATGGCAAAGTCCTCTCCTGGCGAGTGCGCCCAGGGAATGACTAGTGGAGGCAGTAATGGTGTTTACAAGGCACGGTTTACATCGCCAGACACAAAGGCGGGTGTTTTTCCTGAACCCAATACTGGGGACAGCCAGCTGCTTTCAGCAGCCCCCAGCAGATCCTCCTTGTTGGTGAAGGGCCCTTCCAGAAAGCCGATCCATCGGATCATCCACCTTCTCTCCACAAAGCACTGCAACTCACTGGGGCTTGGCAGAGCCACCGCTGCTCCGTGGGGTTCTGCGGGGCTGGAGGATGTGACCCAACCCAGGCAAAGGGGACTCAGTACAGAGGGGATCTCACATCTGGAGTGCACGAGAGAGGAGAGGCGAGGAGAGGTGAGGAGAGGAGAGGAGAGGAGAGGAGAGGAGAGGAGAGGAGAGGAGAGGAAAAGGGAGAAGAGAAAGAGAAAAGAAAGGCAGGCAGGAGGGAGGCAGGAAGGAAGGAAGGAAGGAAGGAAAAGACAGAAAAGAGACAAACCATACTTAGTGCATTTATTCATTTAAAATGAATATTTTTACTTGCTTGAGTGGAGACAGAGAGAGAGAGAGAGAGAAAGAGAGACTTAAAAACCTGTAGGAAGGTGCTACACGTATTTATTTGCAAATTTCACTCACAGGCGAGCTCTTGGGGAACTTACAAAGTCCTTCACTTTACAGAACACCTGAGCCCCAGGGGAGCAGCGCTGTTCGCACCACCCATGTGCAGGGGCTGTATGGCTTTTGTCGGGGTGATGGTGCGTGGTGGCTGCTATGGCTATGCAAGCGCAGAGGCAGACCGATGCCCCCATCTGCCTTAGCCACAGCACCCTGCTCCACCGGGCTGGTGGAGATGGCCTCTGCTGTCCCCGTCACGGCCTGCCCAGGCTGCTGGGGGCCGGTGTCCCCTGCTGGCTCCCGCCATCCCACCACCATCCCTCCACCAGCTGCTGCGGACGGGGCCGTGCTCCTCCAACCATTAGCTCCGCCAGCACTGGGCAGCGGGAGACCATCACGCCAGCACCTGCTTAGGTTTTTCCCCAGAAAAAACCCCTCTGAACAACAGCGAGGAAAACCTTGCTTGGTCCTGAATCTGTGACCATGGAAGCGAGCCCTGCCTGCCCCGCAGACGCAGATAGAGCAGCAGTGAAAGCCGTGCTTGCTCTCAGGGCTCAGGTGCCCTACCCCGGCATAATCTTCCCGTCGGACAGCTTTATACTTAGCCTTTATGGAGATCACTCCTAGAATAAATGAGGTGAGCCCATTTTAGCCCCCACGAGGTGTGTGCTGGTACCCCCAGCCCCAGAGTTCAGCACAGGCAGCAGCCAAGCAGAGGGCCACTGCCATCACTTGGCGTTTGAACGGCATTTGAAGACCGAGAGGCTGTGAAATTAAAGCAGCCTGGAGAAGTCTGCACTGCTGACTGACCGTGGTTCCCTCAGAGCTACCAGGCCCTCGTTTCCTACAAGTCCCCACTCCGTTCTATATACGCTGACATTTTTGTCCCATGCTGTAGAGTTATATGCTTCACTTTTTGCCTTTTGCTGTATTTAGTACAGAGATGGTCAAAACCATTTTTTTAAGTTTGGGGTTTGTTTTGTTTTGGTTTTTTTTTTCAGAAAATGTCAACATTTGAATACTGGGTTTGTTTCAAAATGTTTGAAACAGACATGTTTTTATTAAAAATATATGTATTTATTTCTGCAAGCAGTATTAAATGAGTGGCTACCTATATGTTATGCATCAGACACACAATTTTGCTAAGATATACACATTTAATAGCATTTTGATCTCTCTGAAAAAATGGAAAAAGGCACATTTTTTCCCCAATATTAGCTTTTTTTAAGCCTTTTTTTTTCCATGGGGAAAAATGTTATGTCAAAAAATGAGGATCTGTTCTAACTTTGCACTAAGCAGTCACAGCACGTAAATTTCAACCCCCCTTTTGGGTTTTAAAGTCTCTCTCTCTCTCTCTTGCTTTTTCTATTTTTACATTTAATGCTATAGAGCTAAGTGCATTCCTCTGCCTGCCCTCACTCTGCAGCCCCTGTGAGACGAGGCTGAATTCACAGCCCTTGGATAGTGGTGTCTCTTCTACATCACAGAACATTTCTGCTCAGCAGCCTGTTTAATTTCGGTGAAGGTGGCTTGTGCCTTTTCTTTGATCGCATCCATGTCCATATTCTGGATGTTCTGCAGCTGTCCCAGGATAGAGTCCTTGTCCTCTTCCTCCACCTGATCTTCTGCCACCATCTTCTGAAGGTCTTCTGGCAAATCCACGTCATCTCCAGCCATCTGTATTTGATTCTCGTCCAATTCACTCTGATACAGAAATCAGAAAATAAAAACAGTACATGAGAGTATTTCTGCTATCCCAGGATCTACCAATGAATCTCTCTTCTGTTTGTTTGTTTGTTTGTTTGTTTGTTTTTTGGATAACTGAAACATATGCACAGATTTTTCAGTCAGAGTTTTTAGATGCAACTTGGGAATTCGGGGGCTCACTCAGCCCCCATAGAAGTGCTATGATTTTTCAGACAATGTCAATTAGATTTCTCTGAAGGGTTTCAGTGGTGTTAGAGCCGAAGCCTTCCGTCTCACTTGCTGTTTTAGAAATCTCTGCTGTGTGTGTCAGCTGTGGCAACATGTTGATACTGCAGGAAATCCACTACAAGTTATTCGTGTCCACCAAAGACACGCTGCAATACACTGCGCAGGCTGTCATCTGATTTGTGATTTGGTTGACGAAGCGTTAGCTTTACAAAAACTGTGTGGCTGCCATTCCCCTGTTCATTTGTTGGTGGGTAGTTTTAGGTATCAGCACTAAACTGAAGCCTTCCTGAAGAAAGATGCATTAAACTGAGGAAAGAATTACTAGAAAAAAGGTCCCCACCTTCCCCAAACCATGTCTAAACTGTATCGAGGTCTTTGGTTGGCATCTCTGGGTTGTGATGAGGAGCAGGGGCTGCCTGGCACATAATCGGAGCAGTGTTGCAGTGCTGGTAAGTGGGGTAATGGGAGGACTTAGACAACAAAAGAGAGGATGGAGGTTGGGTGTGAGTCTGCAAAAGCAAAAGGAGACAGGAGAAGGAACTGGTTAAGCAATTAAACGGGCTGAGATGCAGTAAGAGCTACACACACTTGCGTCCTGCCTGACCGCTGCAACGCTCTATCAGTGGGGCTATGTCAGTTTTTCAAACAATGGCGATTTTGTTCACGTTTTATGGTGGATTCTGATGGATCCAGAGCTCAGAGGAACAGGATATTTTGACACAGTTCACACATCAAAGATAAGCATTAATGCCTCATTACATCTCCAAAATGAAGCATGACAGCAGCAAAGGCCTGATATGAATAAGCAGCAATGCTGTCAGCAGGAGGTGTTTTCGAGAGTGAGAGGGGTCTTGGGTTTGCATGAATGAATGAACGCAAGAATGAATGGAAGGACGTATATGAGCAATGTCTGTGTAGTTTCAGGCCTTAGCTAGGACAGGCAGGCTGGGATGCTTGACTGCATAGCCACTATTTACCATTACATATATTTGCACAGCTTTATGTTTGCAATAACTGTACTTCCCTTTAACCTGATTTCTCCCCCTGTCTCTCATAAAAATATGGCAAGGTGTATTGCAGTCATTACTACTATGTGGCTAAAATAGGTGAGGACATCTCTTGACCCCTTTGGGTAAGGGTTGCTGCAGTCAGATCTGTGGGAGCTAGAAACAATATCCCAATCAGAAGAAGTTTTCTTTAGTGATTGCGTAGCAGGAAAAATTGTGTTAAGCTTTTAATCAGCAAGTGCTGGCTATCGGAGGAGTTAGCCCTTCTGAAATTCTCCCAAGTAGCAGTAGAGGATGATAAAAAAAGATACTGGGTTAATTACTGAAAAAGTCCCCCTAAGCAGACAACCACGTGTTCTTTTCTTTACAATTTATAATTTATAGTTTATAATTTAAGACATCATCTCTGCACACTACTGTATATTATGCGGAGAGATGCCCATACAGCGCACACAAAAGCCACCTTGGTGATGTGAACAATTGTTTGGCACATTCTTGCACCAAAGCTCCCTGTCCTACTGAAGTTTGAGATGTGATGCACAACACAGTTTGCGGGTTCAAAGTGCTCCCTGACCAAAGAAGAACATATTCAGGTGTAATCTGAAGCAGTACAATTCTGCCCAAGTCACCTGCTTCTACCCACATGGCATTTAACCTGTCCTTGAATAGGCTGAGTATGAGCTTCAACAGGGCAGGGTCGCTCAACAAGAAGACAAGAAGCACGTAAGATGCATTTGGCCTCTTCTCGTGCTTCTAAAATTTGACAGATCTAGTTCTGTTACTTTGATCTGAAATGGAAATGTAGGATTGAGTTTCTGATTTTACCTGTTTTGTTGGTTTTTGGGTTTTGTTTTCCAAGTCTGGTGGGAATAAGTTAAAGCTTGTTTTCTCACAAGGAGAGACCAGAAGATTTTCCCACAGGATGTTCTTAAAGTCAGGCGAATGCTGCAAGTGTCCAAACACACAGTGAGCCGGCAGCTCCAGGCACTCACGTCTGAAAGTCGCGATCAGAAGTGTGGTGCTGGAAATGCACCATGTCCGTTTGTTTTAGACAGCGGCTTGCAATCGGAGCGTGAGCAGGGTGTGCAGATCCCTGCTGCAGATCCCCAGCACGCACACACGTGGGGACTGTTACTTGCCCGAGGTCAGACATGGCTCTGACAGTGAGAGTCACTGCCCTGCATCAGAATACACTCAGCGTGGACTACAGAGAGCACCCAAAATAGGCAGACCTCATGGATGGGACAGCTGGGGCCGTGGGCTCTAACAAACCCACACAGAAAGCCCCTGTGGACCCTGGCAAACCTGTGCTGGACTGGATGGCCTCTCTCCTGATGACTTTAATCACCATAGTCTCCAGTGTTCAGCCACCATTTTAGGATCTCTGAGAACACAGAAGCAACATCTATTCTAGTAAATTAAATATGCCTGGCACTGGTCTCTTGCCCCAAGGCCAGCTGGCCTGCAACAACCCACCACAACGCTATTGAACTCTCTCGCCCTACCAAACAGGGTGGTCCCATCTAAGCGCCCATCGGGAATGCCTGTCCTACCTCCCAAACTGGCCCTGGGAACTGCTTGGGAGAGTGCCCAGGCCAAAACTGGGTCAGACACTATTCTGACAATTCAACAGTATAGGCGATGGAGTCCTAGTGCCTGGTAATATTCTTTGACCCTGATTATGCATCTGATGTAGTCAGACTCAGATCCATTTTGTTACGGTGCAGTACAATACAGAGTTATTTATACATACACGATACACAGGTGTAAGCAGAAAACACAGTCTAAACATCTGTTTATATGGTATGATTGTAAACAAAAGAGATCAAAGCTCACAGACTAATCCACAGGGGAATCAAACTGTTTTCCAGCATCACTGTGCGATGTACTGCTTTCCTCATGTCTAACTTACCCTGTCACAACATTCACCTATTCCTATGCGCAGAGATCCTTAGGTAGGTGAATCCAGACCTGATCCTGTGATTCATCACCTATAATGTACCAGTCACATACAAAATCAGAGTTCACCTTGCCTTGACCTGCAAACAGGACTTTCGATAAGCCACACAGCAGCCCCATACTGACGCACGCCATCCAAGAGCTGTGGGTACCCCACAAGTAGGTACGAGGAGCCATGGGTTGGAAGCATCAGCCTTCTCCCCGACAAACACCCTCCTGTGCTGTCTCTACACAGGGATCACAGTTCAGAGCACGGGGAAGCTGTGCGGAGGCTCTCTGACATGTCATTGCCCAAACTGCCTTCAACGAGAACCCCCTTACCCCCGGGGACTACAGATCCCACTCCAGCTCACGCCAGGCCCCTGGTCCTGCCCTAGGCCACATCAGGGCTGTGCCCGTGCCAAGGCGGTCAGTCCCCAGCTGAGCCCGGCTGGTTTTCCAGGATGGCCTGTGCTTGGTCCCCCCCCAGACCCTGCTGCCACCCTCAGCCCTTCCCGCTCCTCCAGAGCCTGCAGGACTGCGCCGGTGGGCCAGGGCGCTGCTTGGGCTGGGGTCCCCCCTGGCCGGGACCTTCACAGGGAGCAGTCTTGACCTCGCTGCTGCCTCCTGACATCCACACTCTGACTGTGTTTTTCCACGGTGGATCCACAGCTGTTTCACCCTGCCCTATTAAGAAGGGACTTAGATCAGCAAAAGAATTCTTCAAGCTTTGCAAATACGTGTTTTCAGATACTTAGCGAAAGCCTGTACGCACTGAAGAGCTGCTCCTGAGACAAGTTTCTCTTTCCGCCTGGGCAACGCTCATCCCCAAGGCACAGCTAGAGCTTGTGTAATGGCTGCATACAAGTAAAAAATCCTTTAATTCTGGGATGGCGCTATTCATTACATCAAGTCTTCACAATATTCCCATCACGGCACAATAGAGCAAGAGCTGTTTGAGAGTACACGACTACATGTCCCTTTCATGGCGAGAAGCTTTCCTTTTCAATGTCTTTACCAGCCCCTGTTATTGAAAAGACACCTGATTGCATC